ATTGTATTATTTGCAATTACGCTAAATATCATTTAAAATCTTATTAATATGCAGACTGAATTTTTGCTCAAAGTCTTTTCTGACAAGTATTTATATTTAGAACAGAAGTAATAATTTTTATTCAAAACTGAAAATTGTTGGTCAGCCTGCCTCTGTATCCGTATACGTTATTTCTTTGAACTAGTACGTAAACGTTGATCTGTGCTACGGTATAAGTTCAATTGTACAGTGAAGGCATTGAGATATTTCATATTATCCTCAATTTTGAAAATGGATATGCGTAGAGAAGATGTTATACTTCTTTACACTTCTTATAATTGAACTGTATCAAGAAAAAAAATATTATGGAATCCTAAAAATTTCAAATGTATCAAATTGCTCGCAGTGTGCGTCGCGCACAAGAGCCAACGCATGCGTGCGTCGCGAACATGATTCGCCGCACGGATTCGTGCAGTGGGGACGCAGCATTTTAGGTGTGGACGCACCTTTACTGCGCATGCGCAGATTCGTCTTATCATTACTGCGCATGCGCATTGAAAGGCGACGCGAACACGATAGCGCGATAAGCTGTCCGAAGTTCAATGGAATGTAGAAAGAAAAATACACAAAACTTTTAATCGGCTAGTAAATGCGCAAAGCCATAATCTCAAAAATTATATTTTGAAGTTTTCGCTATACAGTAAAAGCTTAATTATAGCTATTTAAGTTGCTGTAACTAGTTAACTTTTAAATAAATGTAGTGCAAATCATTTAATGTGATTATTTTGACACATGGATATAGGTTACCACAATAAACAAGTATCCAAACTAAAAATAGCAGTGAAGCAAAATCAATAGTTTTGCGAATTTGTTTAAGTGGATAAATGGAAATTACGAACCATTATGTATAAACTCATTACGTAATCTCAAATTAGATACGTCTTTTCAATTGCAATAATATCCACTCTTCTCAAATTCCCAAACTGAACCGGAGTTGCTTGATATCTAATTGTAAATTGAAATTACACATGGCATCCAAATTTAAAGGTAAAAACTTTCACAATAATGAACGTGATGTGCCAGACGATTTTTTCGGTGACTTTAACAATAAGAATTTCTTGGACGATCTGAATGCATTCAATACACAGGGCCAAGCAAAATCTCAAAACAATATGCAGTCATCAGATAAGCAAAAGGGTAATTTGCCTCATAATATAAGTAATAGTACTAAAAGGAGACTTAGGAAGAAATTTAAGAAAAAAATTGAAAAATCAAAAGAATTTTACCGAAATTCTTTGAATAAAATGAGTAACTCTTCTTGGATTGACAATAATACTAATGGTAGAAATTTTAATTCCAACAATCCAAGTACATCATCAGACAGACAAACGAGAGAATTGTCGCCACAAATAAGCAGAAGTAGAAGCAATTATGATAGATCCTACAGATCTGATTCTATGGAACAGGTGGAGACAATCAATAACTCAAGGCTTGATGAACATTATGAACCGCCAAGAAAGCAAAATACAACTACCGTCAGATTTAAAAATAGAAATTCTGCATCTCACTACTTTAATGAACCTAGAGCAAGAAATAATAGTGGTTCAAGGGATGATGAATTGAATCACAAATCAATAATTTGCACTAGAACTTACGACAGTAATATGAGTGATGATAAAATAGATCTATTTTCCAAGAATCAAGAACCCACAAATATGCAATTTAATTCAACTCAAGTTTCTAACCATTATAATAATATACAGGTGAAGAAAAATGAGGAATCTGTAGCCAAAAAGATATTTTCAGAAAAACTATTATCTTCTGAATTCCTAACAAAACTATCTAGACGTGCAGCTGCAATCGGAATACAAAACTCATATGATAATGAAAATATGATTGATGTTTTACATTCATGCTTATTAGATGCCGCACCTCAGCTATTAGCTAATTTGCCAATTTCCCATACTGATTATAACAACACTGATGATATTCGTAATAACAAGCGCATATTACTGAATAATCAAATGGAGTTAATTCTCAACATTACTCCCCTACCCTCAAATCCAACTGCACAGGATTTAGAAAATTTTCTGAGATTCATCAATAATGCTATTGCGGAATTAGAGCTTCTTGGTCAATCAACTTCTAATTGGGACTTGTTTTTGGTGTGCCATATTGTAAGATTGCTTGACAAGGGCACACAAGAACATTGGGAAGATAGCATTGCAAACTCTGAAATTTCTCCTACTTATGAGCAACTCGAGCAGTTTATGCAAAATCGTATATATTTTCTACAGGATATTGAAAGAAGTCCTGTATTTGATAGATCACCTATTCAGGATGAAAGGCCATGTCCATCTCCAATATTGGAAAGAAGGCAATATCAACAAAGCATTGATGAAACACCATATGGATACAATGCATCATATGAAGAACCTGAGAAACATGATTCAGACAGATGGCATCAACAACATGAAGAAATGCAGGAACATGTTAAACAATATGAATGTGACTGTTGTTATGGAAAGCATTTCATTGTGCATTGCCCTCAATATAAAATGAAACGTCCAGCTGAACGTCTAAAAATTGCAAAACACTATGCATTGTGCTTCAATTGCCTCGGAAGACATAGCATACGATCTTGTCGGAACCAGGGAATGTGTGGTATTTGCAACAAAAAACATCATACAATGCTCCACCATGGCTTTCCAACTCATTAATAAATTACCAATATATATTACTAATAAGCTGACTACATGTACATATGTTTTTGCAAAGACCACTCTTAAAAAGATGTTCACTCTATATAAACATATAATATAAAGACCACTCTTTCAAATGTTCACTCTCGCACACACACATACACACATATATATATATATGTGTGTGCGCATGTGTGTGTGTTAGAAACTCTTACCATATTCTTTATCGTACATTTAGAAGACCCTTGTAAACTTAAGTGGATTAAAAAAAAACACATGTCCAATACTAGCAATTCAAAATTTAAATATAGTGAGCTTTTGAAGTCTTCTCAGAAGCACTGATTAGAAAAACAATTAGTTTGTAATTAATTATCCTTAAAAATGAACTACTTTATGTCAGAAACTCTGTAATTTACAAAGTGAATAAACTTGTATTTTAACATCTTATAAAGTATCAATATTGATATCTCCAAACATACTGTTGAACTCACATGTAATTAAATTTACAATTATTGCTGATTTTATTCAGCATATTATGGTTGACTTTTAAAAATAGAACAGAACTCCACTGAAATGAATTCCATCTCTCAATGCTCTAAATGATGGTTTAGAGTTGTGGAAATTTATTAATAATTAGTATTTTGACTAAATACAATGAGGATGGATTGATTAGCAGACTTTTTGTTTGCTTATTTATGGTGGGACAAGGAGAGAGAAGAAGTATTATATTTAAAAATAAATTTACAATTCAGCTCATAAGAAACTTCATTGAAATGAAAAAAAATAAATAAATTGTGTTTGGGAAACTCATAAATTAATATATCCATCAATGGGAAAATAGCTATTCACAGTTGCACAGTCAGTTGATAGATTACTGCTTATACTTTTCAGCTTACTCATAAACCCGCAATCTTTTAAATCATTCATCAACAGTAAGATATCTCCTTGTGTGAATACACAACTTTAAAGATAAAAACTCATTCAGAACTTCCCATCCTCTTATGATGTTTATACTTAATATGTGAAATTATAATCAGCAAGGATCAAATACCTCAGCTTATTTTCACATCAAAGCAAGTTCTGAATTCTCGATTCTAACACGAAAGTAATTGACCCTCCTTTAGTAGGTAATAATGTCTCATCTTTGTCACTTTATAATAAACTCATATTCAGATGTAAAACTCTTTCTCTGTTTGAGAATTCGGAATGAAATGATACATATTTAGCAAAGAATATATTGAAACTTTAAGACCACTGCCTTAGAACTTTTAAAATGGAGAGGTCATGTAAAATATTAATTGAGGAATTTACTATTGTTATTTATTGATTATTTCATTTCACTTTGACCAAGAATGAATCAAGTTTGATATTTTGTTCTCATTAATATGCTAATCTTAATAACTGTTTAATAAGTACAGATACAAAATTTGTATTGTTTTAGTATAAAGATCAACTTTAGAAAATTCTGATTAAGTATCAAAATTTTCAAAAGTTAATATTTATACTAAAACAATGGGAAATTTTTTTGTACTTATTAAACAGTTATTAATATTAGCAATTAATAAGAATAAAATTATCAAATATGATTCATTTTCAGATGAAGAATTATTATTGTTTGTTATTAGAGCAGGTTGATTTATATGGTTCAAAAAAAGTCACTTAGGCACATCTGATGTTCGGATACTAGGGATCAAAATAAGATACTTTGCCGAAGAAACCATACCTCTAAAATGAATTTTGATGTCCTGTGCATTGACCCAAAAATAAGGGTTAAAATTTGAAAGATTCTATTTTGACCCATTTAGATTGCCCCAATCGAGTCCAAATGTATGACCGACCTTTCACTAACTTTGAAAGGCCAATCCACCCATTCCAGTGGTTTAGCCCCTGGAATACACCCTGAGTGGTTTTGCAAAATTTAACCCTTATTTTTGGGTCAACGTACAGGACATCAGAATTCATTTTAGAGGTATGGCTACTTCAGCGAAGTACCTGATTCCTAGTATCCGAAAATCATATGTGCCTAATTGGCCTTAAAATCGACCTGCCCTAATATATATATATATATATATATATATATATATATATATATATATATTTGCAAACAGTCGGAGAATAATTTTATATATATATATATATATATATATTAAAAATCCTTGAAATGATAATTATTCCCCGACTGTTTGCAAAAAAAACCTAAGATAGTGAATTGTGCCAAAAGAAATATAAAAGAACATGTCAGATAGATAGAAATAAAAGTAAAAACAACTCAGCTAATAAAGACTTGGAGACCATATAAATAAATATAACAATCACTACCTTCATATCTCGGATATTAGATGGAATAGCACCAGAAGTGAGTAAAACTTGAATATCCTCAACCTCCTCATTATCTGGCCGAGGAGCTGTGATCTCATCTGCAACTTCTTTTGCAGCCTCTTCAAATATAGCTAAATGTTCACTGGGTAACTTCATTAATTTATCTGCAAGAGTTTCATCAAATCCTGCTAAATCCTCCATTTCTACCTCAATATAAAATTTACGCAATGTGTAGTTGCGTTTCAAAGTATCTCTGTAATAATTAGAAACTATTAATTTAATCATGAAGATCATACAATCGTTTATGATAATAATATATAACAAATTATCTTAAAAAAAAAAAACGACATTTACTGATATTAGAGAGATATTCATCATTTATTGAATACTGAATTTATGGCATCTAAAATATTAGGTGCTTTATTATTTTAAGAAATATTTTATGAAACCGATTCACCAATATTTTTACATAATTATTATTTACTATCAATATTAACAATTTATATAAAAGAACTCAAAATTTCCAGACATATTAATAAAGCATATTCAAAACTAGTGGAATCAAACAAACTTATGCGTTTGTGTTAAAAATATTTTGGTTTATCAATATATATTGCTATATATTTAACAATTATTAGTTTGGAAAAATACTACATATTGCGTCAATGAGATGCGCTAATTTGTATGTCAGTTTTAGTAAAGATTTTCAACTTATTACTATGTTTTTAACAAAAAGATAGTTTAAAGGAGCTACTAAACCAAACATACATGAAAAAGTTTTGTTCAACTCGATAGAGTATAAAAAATGTGTATGTCAATATGGAAGAAATTATCCCCCAAATGAAGCTACAGTATATATTCATTAATATTGCTTAATATTCATACCTATATTTAAAATAGAAATTGTCTTCATTGAATGTACGAAGAAATTCTTTGAACTTTCTTTTAGTACTTTGTAAATTAACATTTCTATCATTTTGGTTATCATTTTCGCCTCCAAAGTTATCGGAGAAGAAAAGTCCAGGATCGTCAAAACCTTCCATGGTATTAAACTAAAATAAATAACAATAAAATGCACAACAATCGTCGGAAAATATTCAGTACGCAAACAACTTGTTGACTGTAATTGTATTATTGAAGTTGACAGTTGTCTGCCTAAAAAGCGCGGCAAAATTGGCGACAAAGACAAAATAGACTCCCTTTTGCATTTATAAAATTTGTCAGTTCTTTGTTGGTGCGCCTGGTTAGTTTTTTGTCTAATGAGGCGTACTTCATACGGTATATGAAAATGTCAAAAATTACCGTAGTATGACGCGTGTGTGAAAGTCGCGATTACACATTAATAATAAGTGCGTTCAGTTTAATTTACAATTTATATGAAACATATGTTAATAATTTAGAATCGAAACTAAAACCATTTTCATCATGATTAATGTATATTTGGATAATAAACAATTTTTTTCACTTTTTGAGGAAATTTCAGTATTTGATATCAAACAAAAATTATTTAAGAAAACGGTAAGTGTGACATTTTTTAATATAAGAAAATCCAAACATTAATGCAAATTATATACATATTTTTATTCAATTGTGTATAAAATGTTGCTTATGACTTCAGCATGATTAATGTGTACACGTCAAGGTTATTTGTCAAAATTAATTTTTAGATAAATATCAAAAAATGAAAACTAACATATTTTTACTATGTGAAAGACTTAATTTCACTTAGATCTTTGTTTTAAATAATTTTCTTAATTTTGAATATTTATATTGTTATTGTTGATATAAATTTTGGCTTATCGTGTAACATGGTTTAATATACATTCAAAAAATTTTGGGCAGTACATCATAATATTTAGTTAAATGTAGACTCTTACATAAGACTAAATTCAATGTTTTTTTAGGGATTGCAAGAAAGTAACACTTATGCATTATACAATGGTCGACGAGTTCAAGATGAATGCATTATATCCAATGGCAATGTTAGGATTATGCTTAAAATTCTTGGTGGAAAGGGTGGTTTTGGTTCTATGTTGCGAGCTATAGGAGCTCAAATAGAAAAAACAACCAATAGAGAAGCTTGCAGAGATCTTAGTGGTCGCCGATTGCGCGATATTAATGAAGAAAAACGTCTAAAATCTTGGATAAATAATAAGCCAGATCGTGAGCAAGAGGCTGCAGAGCGGAAAAAACAGAAAATTGAAAGACTTTGTTCTAAGCCCAAACATGAATTTCATGATAAAACTTATGATGAGGAAAGGTCCAAATTGACAGAAGTTGTTGCAGATTCTGTCGAAATTGGTTTCCAAAGTACAAGCGGACTAAATTCATATAAAAGGAAATCACAAACATCGACAAAACAGACAGCCAAGAAAAAAAGTCGACTATGGTAAGTTCACCTACATTTTTTTATCGCATTATTTAAATTTTCTGATTTAAAAAGATAGTAACAGAAATTTATTTATCATTTAGGATTGATGCTGATGAAGATGATTTAAGTTTAAGTGATTCATCAGATGATGATAATTCAAGCTCCCCTCAAAATTCTGATAATGACACAAATTTACAAGAAAAATCTAGTTCAGAGGCTTCAAATGATGCAAATAACATACATATATTACAAAATCCTGAAGAAACGATGAGTAAAGAACAAACAACAATTAGTATATGTTAATATAAAGTAATACTTTAAATTTCATAAATTAATATAAACTGAAATGTGAATAAAATATTTACTGCACTTATTTATCATTGTTTTAATTTGAATTGGTCCAAATACTCTTGTTCCACAGGATGCAAAATTTCTGCTGGTATTATTAATGAATGTAAAGGTGGACCCATGTCTGTTTTCCTCATTGTTGATAGGGAGCACATAATAATAGCCTGCGTTTCAGAGCCTATTCTGGCTAGTCCAACACATGTTGTATCTTCAAAATAAGCTGAAGCATAATTATTATAGTATTTATTATAAAACATAATTGAAATATTCAAAGTGATGATAAATTTTTATTTGCAAATGGACTAACCTAAGTCTGCATCTGGTATTTCATTGCTTCTTAACTTCTCAACAATCTGAAGAAGTTGATCAGCTGCTTCTGACGTTTTCATAAATCTTGGTGGTTCATATTCACGCTTTTTCTTTGTTAAACTTTCTAGAGTTGGTTCTTTAACTTTAATATCTAATAAACAAAGTGTATGAAGTCCTCTAAGCCTATTTCCTTTAATTTTGTCATAAAAACTATCAGGTTTCCAATCATCATTCCAATAGGGTATTGAAACAGTTTCTCCAAAATTATAAAGCTGTAGACCACAGCATCCAACAGCATTTAGAATTGAAGCATTGTGGATAACTTGACATTTGTATCCTTTTTCTTTAGCTCTAAGAACAATATCTGTGTGAGTTGTAGCACCAAAAGGATCACCTACCACTAGAAAAGCTACATCTTCTTTATCAGATCCTTGCATAATATCATCAGACCCTTGCTCAACATTTTCTCTATCGGCTAGGATTATTTTTTTTCCGTAAAATTTTTCCTAAGTAAAACATAAGAGTTAAAAACTGTACAGATTATAAAAATGTATGAATATATAGAAAACAAAATATAATATTTTTGATCAAATTGAAGAAGTAAAAAATATAAAGCGACAAAATGATTTCTTCATACCGGTAAGATAAAAATAATTAAAAATTAATCTGAAAATGAATATATTTAAAAAATAAAATTACATTTAACATTTTTATATACATAAACCTTTGTATCATGAATGGTTCACTTAAATATTTAATCAAGAGCAGGCAAGTATTCAGTTGACGAAATTTCCAATTTATTTATCTATAATATTTATTAATTTCCAATAGCAACTTAATCTGCAATTTTTTGGATAGGACTACATTGCATGGGCATTGAAATATAACCTAAAAAAACTTACTAATTCTTCTTGTCCCACTGTTAGTAGGGAAGTGTAGGATTCAAGGTAAACTCTGTCACACTTTTTAATTATTTCCAATCCTTTCACAGTAATGTCTTTAGCATCGCCAAGACCCAATCCTATAATATAGAACATTATTTCACCTGTAATTATAAGACTAGCACGTGTTAGTAGATAAATATATTGCAGGCTGTCAAACGGCTGTCAATTTGCGCAATTGGTGTGCCATCTGTGAGTTGTTAGCACGATTAGTATCCTTAATAAAACAGATTTTTTGTTCAAATATATTTTATTTCATATATAATATTTAATATAATGCGAAAAATTTAACTAGTGGGGTGCATGGCATCGTGCCTTAAGGCAAATTGCTGGAACTTCTCGTACCGTAATTAAGAATCTCGGTACGGAACCCAAAAAAATTTACACAAAATGTGTACACATTATTAAAATCTCTGTAAAATATCTGACAATTTGATATACATATGTCCAATAAACATTTTTGACCGCCAAATGACATTTTTTTAACTTATTGTTATTGAGAGTCCATAACCGCTGGACCTGCCTTCCCAAAAATCAGTTTTTCATCTTGTCAATACAACTAAAATGTTTTTTGAATGATTAAAATCGGACGTTCCGTTCTCTTAAAAACTGAGTTATCGTTTTTGGCACTTTTTGCCCCGTATCTTCGGAACGGCTAGACCTGCCTTCGCCAAAAACTAATCAGCACGTCTCCTCATCAATATGAATCGATTGTTTTTTGAATTATTTAAATCGGTTGATCGGTGTTCCTGAAATCGTCGACGAAAATTTGTATCCGAACACACACATACACGCACACACACACACACACATACAATCATTTTTTCTAAGGTATGCCAAAATGTTCAGAAACCTTTGAAACGTAAAGATATATAACAATTTTCATTTTCGATTTTTTTGCGATTACTATAACTTACTCTATTCTTCATGAATTTTTTTACCCTGAACTCCATTCAAACATATCCCAGGTCGCTGATTGGACGTTCGGCCAAATGCAATTCGTTTTTGAACCGTCTAAAGGCCATGGCCAAAGCAAAGGGTGGTCATATCGAGCGAAAATGAATTGTTTTTAAATTTTGTATTATTTTTACACATTTTGTACTTTGAATCGAGTAAAAGTAATTTTCCAAACTGAATTTATGGCTTTTTCAATTAGTTACACCTCGAGTGCCGGACCCTGTATATCAACGTATTATTTTATCTAAATATAGGTACAACAACTCTTTCCACTCGCGAATTGCGAGATTTATATGAATTTTGCTGCCGGAGCGGCGGCATCCGAGTGGAAAAGATTAAAACTATCCACTTTCTTTCAATATATCGATCTGATATAGCCAATAAGTACATCTGGTACTTCGTCAAAAAGTGAACAATTTCAATAGAGTTATATACATATTTTTAATCTATCTTGCGAATCATAATAATTGCCTACGATCCATAAAACGTAAGCAAACTTAAAAATTTAATTGAAACCTTCTAAGAGCGAGGACCGCATTTACTTACAATTAGTTGCCAACCATAGATATATGAGTATAAAGTTGCCAATCTAATACTTTTGTGAACATTGTAATTTTGTATTTTATACATATAATCTATATAATATCCAGAAGTTACACTAAATTAAGAGAGAGATTGAGTCAACTTAAACCTTTTTAGCTTCCCGTAGGGCAAGTTATAGTAATCGCAAAAAAATCGAAAATGAAAATTTTTATATATCTTTACGTTTGGAAACCTTCTGAACATCTTGGCATACCTTAGAAAAAATGGATGTATTTGTTTGTATGTGTGTGTGTGTGCGGATACAAATTTTCGTCGACGATTTCGGGAACACGGATGAAGCAATTTGAATAATTCAAAAAACATTCGATTCGTATTGATAAGGACACGTGCTGATTAGTTTCTGGCGAAGGCAGGTCTAGCCGTTTCGAAGATATGGGGAAAAAGTGCGAAAACGGTAACTCAGTTTTTAAGCGAACGGAGCCTCCGTTTTTACATTGTACAACATTTTTACATGTATTGACAAGATGAAGAACTGATCAAATTTTCATGAAGCAGGTCTAGCGGTTTCGGAGATCTAATGAAAAAAGTAAAAAAATGCCATTTGGAGGTGAAAAATGATCATTAGACATATGCACATCAAATTATCAGATATTTTACAGAGATTTTAATGATAAGTATAAATTTTATTTACATTCCTATGGGTTCCGTACCAATGTTTATCCGTTAGACGGCGACGCGGCACTTACGCGCTTCGATATTTCGTCTCTATGCAGTTAAAGCAGTATAATTACTTTCAAAAAAGTTCAGAATTTCCAAAATATTTTAAAATAAATTTTTCTTCAAAAAAATTTTTTTTTTCAAAAAAAGGAAATTTTTGACAAAAATTTATAGTTTCTCAAAAATCTAATTTTTTCAGAGTAAATTTTTTACAAAAATGTTAAACTTTTTTAAAAAAAAAAATAATTTTTGGTACGGACAGTTCCAGCAATTTGTCTTAAGGCACGATGCCATGCGCCCCACTAATTATTTATCAATGTGCGCTATCCGAATACGACCCTGCTTTGATATTGATTATCCGGCCGACCGGTTATCCGCACACGTCCCGCGCCTCCGACGTCTCGTCGAGCAACGAGCTTCCCACTCTTGAAATTGCGAGGCAGTTGGTTAGTATCTGCTTGTTAGCACTGCTCAAAACTCATATTTGTATCGTAGATGTAAAATATTTGAGAAACATTAATAAACAAAATTGCAGAAATACTTACGCGTTGTTTTAAGTTAAAATGCTGATTATTAGCTTGTATGAGGTATGTTAACTAGCACATTATAACTATTCAATAACATAATACTGCAGGGGTTTCCAACCTTTTCGTACTCCCGCTTGTGGAAAAAATAATGTTGCGTTTCGCTTAATTTTTCTAACAATCTATTTTAATAAATAATCAACTGATATTATAATTTATTTATCAGGCTACAAATACAGATATAAAAAATATTATTCTTGAAATTATATATCAAGAATAATATAATATCATATACGTAATAAATTAATTATTCATTAATTTTTTTATCATTTCAACATTTTTTTATTTTTTTTGAATATAGTATTTAGAAAGCAGTTGTACGCCCCCCTTGCAACTTCACGGTCCCCAAAGATGTCGCGCCTCACAGGTTGGAAACTACGGTAATACTGTATTAATGAATCATCGAATACTATGATAACATTTTTATTGGGCGATGTATTGTTATTGCTAATTTTAATTTATATTTATAATTAGTTTCATTTAATTTATATTTATTTTATTTGCTGATTTTTTAAATCTTTCACAGAGTTTATTATAATTAACATTTCATAATTGCATACTGATGACAATATAAATATATTAATAATGATCACGTAAAACGTACATTTACTTAACATAATTATATTAATATTATTAATTGATAATATTAATTAATTATTATGATGATTATATTGATATTATTAATTAATTGATATATAATTATATGATTATTATAGTAGTAAAAGACTTAAATGGCTTAATCAATAGAACAGTTATTTTAATGTACTCAACATTACATTAAGTTTATTACTTACAACATTACATTAAGTTTATTAGGTGAATTTTAAAATAAAAATAAATAAATCAGTAACAAACATAATTTAAAAAAAACTAATATATTTTATTTTCATAGATCATAAAGCTATATTAATTAATATAATTATTAAGTGTTAATTTCTTATATTTTAACTGATTTTTAGAAACGGTTTATGAATTGATTGGTTAATACTTAGAGTATAATTTGACAAATATAAAGCCAAATAAAAAAATAGCTGAAAAATACCGAACTAACAGTAATTAATAAAATATGGATTTTTACATAGAATGTGAATTTTATTGAATAGTTTAAATGACTTACTTTAAAAGTTTTGTATATTTTTTTATTAAAACAATGATTACCTTTTCCTCCCTTGTTTATTATCGCCTTTATTACAGTATTTACTTTTTTTACACTCCTATGAATTTTTCTGTCCAAACTTCGGCTTTTAGTTTGTTTTTCTTCTCGCGTATGTTATCAATCATTTGCGTTCTTCTTTTTCCAATCTTTTTAATCCTTCTATTTTACCTTCGACAACGCCTTATAGAAGGCACTCTTTTTGCAGAATGAGTCCGATCCAGTTTTCTTTTCTTTTAATGATTCTGCTCAGTAGAGTCCTTTCTTTGCCCACTTTTCTCATGTCTCCTTCATTTTTTAGCTTATCTGTCCACTTTATTTTCACTAGTCTCCAGTACTACATTTCAAGAGACTAAGATTTCTGTCTTAGAATCTATGTCTCTGATCCGTACAGAATTTCTACAAATATTTTCCATTTTATATTTCACCATTAAATACTTTATATTTCATTCCTAAACACTACATGTGACAATTTTCTATTCTATTTACAGAAAAAAATGGATGAAATTAACCTTGAAAAGACTTTTGATAAGAGATGCTCAAGATAATCTTCAATAATTTTCTCAATCAATGTCAAGTCTTTATAAAACAATTTTTTGTTTATGAAGTAATCAAAAATGATTAAACGCAAAAGAGTAGTTCTGTCTATGAAAGACAAATACGATATCATTAGGCGTTTAGATGAAGGAGAACTTCCAACCAAACTAGCTCTCGAATACGGAGTGGGAAAATCGACCGTAAGTGATATACGAAAACAAAAATTCGATATTATTGAATTTATATCCAAAATAGACTCTGTCGATAGAGTTAATGAACGCAAAACCATGAGACTGGCAGAAAATAAGGTTGCAGATGAAGCCGTTTATAGATGGTTAATAGAAAAAAGATCCCAAGGTGAACAGATCAATGGACCAATTCTATGCGAAAAGGCTATGGAGCTCTACCAACAGTATGGAGGACCACCTAATTTTCAGGCCACTACAGGATGGCTAAAAAGATTTAAATCCAGACATGGTATTCGTGATCTGCAAATCGAAGGAGAAAAGTTCTTAACTGATCTTAAGCCAGATGATGGTGACTCAACATGTCTTATCACAGAAGATAAAGTTATTGTAGAATTGGTAACTGATAAAGAAGAAAACGAAAATATAGAAGTTAAAAAAGAAATTGTTCCTTCGGCTGAGCAAGCATATGAAAGTTTGGATATTGCATTACGCTGGTTTGAAGATCAAGCAGAGAGTGATCAGTTTCAAATTTCTGTTCTTAAAAATATTCTCGATCTTGCTGCTAGCAAGAGAAAAATGAAAGTTGAAACATTTTTTTAAAAGAAAAGTTAGTGTTTTTGAGGATATAAATCAATTAAAATAACACTAAGTGCTATTTACAGATGACTAAAAACAACGAGAAGTTGTTATCTTTTTTTATTATATGACATAATGTTATTAACCCTTTCCACTTGCGAAATTCTAGATATATATGTATTTTGCCATCAGAGCGGCGGCATCCGAGTGGAAAGGGTTAAATAGTCGATATTAGATAGTTATATTGAAATATTTTATGTCAGTGATATGTAAATACAAAAAAATAGTTTATTTTTCACATGAATAAAACATATGTAAAATATTCATGAACTTGCATTTGTAATTTGTTTGTTATAACTTTAATTAATTAAATTTAGTAGTAATTAAAATAATATTTTCAGAGTACATATCAGTTATTGTGTTATAATTTTCAAATTAAATAAATGAAATAAATATAAAAATCTAGAAATATGAATATAAATATGAAATAAACATATTCATGAATATTTATTATGATTTGATATTAGGAGTTTTATGTTGTACAACGGGGCTTGTTAAATTTTTGTCATTCGCGACCACATTCAGAAATTTATATCTTTAGGTAATTTATTTATTAGGTATACAAAGATCTAGACGTAATGTTTTAGAACGATACGGATATATTTAACATTAAAATCTCTCGCAACCTCAGGATTTTCCTACGCGACTCCAGATGGAGACCCATAGTTCAAGAATCTCTGTTATACAGTATTGTATATAACATATACACATTAGCATATTGCCTTATTTAAAAGCAATTATAGGTCAATATGGTTGCATTTTACATATAAAAATTTCATGCAGAATCTGAGAAGTCTCGATTGTATGAAAAACATTACTTTCTTAGTCTTAGTATACATATATGTTTAATAATAGTAGACATATATGTTTTATTAATTTTCAGAAACTAGTAAAACTTCAAAAACTAATCAAATCTTCACACTTAATTAAATCGCTTGATCCATTTTCTCGAAAACGTGCACAAAGTTTTATTCTAAATTTTCTAACTTCGAAGTTCGAATTTTAATAGTATCTATTAGATACATTCTACACACATGCATATACATATATATTGTTTCTAAAATTTGCCATATAATCAGCGAAAAACATTTTCGACGTTTTGCGATACACCTTACTGCACAAAAACACTTTTTAGATAATAATTTATTTTTTTCGTTTTTAACCCAATGTTTGCATATATCACTAAAAAACCTACCTATATATATATTAAAATTCATAAATGAAACCAGCAGGTCTATAAAAATTCTAGATTATTCTTATTAATCTAATGCAAATATGAACAATTTAATCATATTCAAAGTACGTTAAATAATTTAACTTAAATTAGTTATATATCAAAGAAATTATCATCAAATTTGAGAAAAAATTTGGCTAGAAAATTTTATAACAAACAATTGAAATCAAGAATCATTGAACGAGGCTTGTGCAGTGTGTTCTATTCAATGCTGTCATGATTCAAAAGATAATCATATGTAGATTTAAAGATGCAAGAAGTGCAATGGCTGCTTTTGAAAGTACCTGAATCAAACAACATTTTACTTGCATTGAAAAAGTGAAAAGTGAAAATGATTACACTTTTGCAAAGGAGGGTCCATCAGTTTGGTCTGAAATGTTTATGACAAATCGTTATTGTTGTTTCATATACATGGACAGGTATTCTACCAGTAGAAGAATAGGAAGACAGAGATAGATAGATGGAAAGCGAGAAAAGTGGACAAGAAGGCTGCTCGACTGGAAGGCAGATCTTCTGGTAGGCAGGTAGACATGTAGCCAGGTAAACGGGTGGACTGATTAGCAGGTACAAAAGTAACCAAGTTAACTTATTTTGACAACTTAGTTAACTTAGTTGACAACTGTCACACTTGCTAAGTCACACATGACACTTAGATGGGCAGTCACTTAAATAGGTAGACACTTTGCTTTAAACAGGCAAATAAGTAGATTGTTAGGCAGATGAATCATATACAAATCAAATACTAACTAGTGGGGCGCATGACATCGTGCCTCAAGGCAAATTGCTGGAACTTCCTGTACCAAAAATTATTTTTATTAAAAAGATTTACATTTTTGGAAAAAAATTACTTTGAAAAAATTAGATTTTTGAGAAACTATAAAATTTCTTTACTTTGAAATATTTTGGAAGTTCTGAACTGCTTTAACTGCATAGAGACAAAATATTTAAGCGCGAAAGCGCCGCGTCGCCGTGTAATGGATAAACATTGGTACAGAACCCATAGGAATGTAAACAAAATTTATACTTATTGTTATAAAATCTCTATAAAATATCTGATAATTTTATGTGCATATGTCTAATGATCATTTTTGACCGCCAAATGGCATTTTTTTACTTTTTTCACTAGATCTCCGAAACCGCTAGACCTGCCTTCATGAAAATTTAATCAGTTGTTCATCTTGTCAATACAAGTAAAATGTTCTTTGAATTATTAAAATCGGATACTCCGTTCTCTTAAAAGCTGAGTTACGGTTGTGGCACTTTTTGCCTCGTATCTTCGAAACGGCTAAACCTGCCTATGCCAAAAACTAATCAGCACGTCTCCTTATTAATAGGAATCGAATGTTTTTTGAATAATTGAAATCGGTTGAAACGTGTTTGCGAAATCGTCGACGAAATTTTGTATCCGCACACACACACACACATACAACCATTTTTTCTAAAGTATTCCAAAATGTTCAGAAAACTCTGAAACGTGAAGATATATAAAAATTTTTATTTTAGATTTTTTTGCGATTACTATAACTACATATACACTTATGGATACGTTTATGCAATTTGTCTTAAAGCAAAACGCCACTTACACCTAGTTAGCAGTTTTTTTCTAGCTAAAAATTTATATGTTAGATCTCATTTTCTTGATCAACTTGGATATTTTTAATATCATGACGTTCATGCAATGGCTAATAATTTCATTGCATTTGTAACTATGACATCCAATGTTAGGGGCCGATTCTGCCGTAAAATAGACTAATGTTACGTAAGGGCCATTTTACATGTATTTAATATTTATCTATGGTAGGGGCAATGTTACGTAGCGCTCCTCATACAAAATGGTACTAAATACTGTCAAAATGCCATGTATTTGCTGTGCAATCAGGCTTTTTACACATAGAGTGCAACTTTACTCTAATGTTATTATACCACATCACAAAGATGCAGTTATGAAAACACTGTTTTGTTTTACATTTGTGCGTTTTCTAGGTTGAGTTTTCCATCTAAAACGCCTGACTGCTCAGCAACGACATGGGTTTGACAGTATTTAGTACCGTTACATAACGTAGCCCTTAGACCCTACCTAACATTGGTCTATTTCACGGCAGAATCGGCCCTTTAGTATCAGAACGATTCGATAAATCTATACTTTATATCATATCATACAATGATTGTAAGTAGCATTATTTATCAGTAAAACAATTTCAGTCGCAGTAGAATAGGTATTCTGTAATAGTAAAAACGCATTAAAAGAGATGAAAGTATGGCGTGCCGAGTGACAATCACGCGATAGTCCCATGCGGTTGCACCCTAAAACGTAAATATAAATAAAATATTTACCAACTAGGGTGGAAACGAAGAATAACGCCTTCAAACCTATGTATCGTCAGGAGTTGTGAAGCCATAATCTGACCACATTTAAATAGAAAGAAATTTATAGTTTAAATATAATTACCCATACTGGATGCGGTTTATATCGTATTCAGTCGATGATAGATCGATAGACGTGCTGATTAGTTTTCAGCAAAGATAGGCCCAGCCACTTTGGAGATACTAAGCAAAGAGTGCAGAAAACAGATATCGAGTTTTTGACAGCACGGAGCATCCGATTTGAATGATTCAGAAAGCATTTCATTTGTAATGATAGGAAGAAATGGTGATTAGTTTTTGGCAAAGATAGGTTCAGCTGTTGTTTTGGAACTGCGGAGTGAAATGGGCAAAAATAGCAGTATTTGAGAGAACCACGCATCCAATTTGAATGATTCAAAAAACCTTTTGCTTGTTTCGAAGAAACGATTGTTTCTGAGGCAAGCAATTTTTTTAATTTCAATATTTTTTCATTTCCAAAAAATCACTTATAAACTTGAAATCAATTATTCTAACTTTGCAATTTTGTTAATATAATTCTTAAAAAAATGACACAGTATCCTTCACTCTAACTCTCCTTCATGATGTTCTGTTCATTTCATTTTCATATAAACTTTTATAATCGTCATCAACCAATTTATCCATAAAATACGAATAATTGTCCAATTGTCTATAAAATATGAATAATGAAAGTTTCAGTGTTTATGATAATATATTAGAAAACATTTAATATTCTTCGAATATTTCATTACCATACGGGAAGTTCCAGCAATTTGCCTTAAGACACGAAGCCATACACCACTAGTTTTGTTACATATTCATATTTTGCATTATATTACGAAGTTAATCTGGTCTAGAGGCACGAATTTCATGCAAAGGCCGTAAAAATAGCAAACAATATTTTCACTATATGTTTTTACAAAACTTACAACAAAATCAATTTGTTTTGCACAAAAAAGCGACTGCCAGAAGCAAAATTTTCTATAACTTTTTTTTATATACGATTTTGTTTAAAAAAAAGAGTTAAATCAGAATTTTAGGATAATGATGGGCTGAGTTCATACTGAAGAAAAGTTTATAATGAAGACTATAATAATCTAATTGTTTATAGTTTTATTTGTTTTATTTGTTTGTTCAGAGACAGTCACAAAATTCTTCTAAACGTCTTAGAATATGCAGTTTAAATAGCCAATGGTCACTGATTACAATCGCCAATACTTATAATTTTTGCCACTTATCCATGACAAACCTACTTGTCAATGAACAATGAACATTGGTAAATCAATGACCAATGATTCATATTTCTATGTATCAATGTTTATATATTGTTAGTTATTTAATTTTCCTGGTAAGCTAAGCTATTAATCTG